GGAGGGGGGGGGAGTTACAAACAACATTCATACACAAACCATGGACAATCAAGCATAGTAGTGGCTCTCAGATTCCTGCAATGTATTCTGGAATTGTTGTTGAAAGTTATTAATATATTCGACATCCAGGAAATGTGATACACAAGAAAATAGTTACTCAAGCAACTGGATAGATTGACTGTCAGAGGTTTCAAGTTGCACCTACTTCTTTTACTGCAGTCATTGACAAGAAGTAAGGTATGAATGCAGAATATCTGACAGTTTTAAAAATCTATCCAGTTGCTTGAGTAACTGTTTACCTGTGGTCTGGAATTGTCTAAGTTTTGTGTTTAGCTTGATGTGTCTAAGTGGAAAAGGAAGTTTCTGGTCTGGTAATAGAATCTGAGAAACACTACGACAACCTCAATACATGACACAGATTAAATTGCACAAGGTTTTTTTAGAAAAGCTGTCCAACTGGTGACTTTCAAGATAAAACTTCCAAAAGTAGCACTGACACCAGTAGAAACGAATTCCAATCTGACAAACACCAAACCAAGAGTTTGTTTCAACTTGAAGCTAAATTTCCATGCTCAAAGACTCACGAATAGTACAAAAGCATGCAAAGGTCCCTTCAATGAAGTCTAACTAGCTTACACTGCATTTCGTCATCGATTTCCTATCATTGCCATGATTCCATAGGCCATAATCCTGTCTACCACTAAAGAAATTCAAAATATGCAAAATTTCTGTCGTTGTTTGCTAGTGCCTAGGAAGATACTTTTGTGAAAATCATTGCCGATAGATTTTAGGCAGATTTATTTTACCTGTCTGCAAATTTTGGTTCTAAAACCCTTGAAGCTGAAGGCAACCTACATAAAATGTAACTACATATAAAATAAAAAAAAGGAGGAAAAGGATGGTTAAGGCGGCCTCAGTTCCTCTCCAGTCCACCTTCAGTTGCCTGGCAACAGACTGGTCTGGCCCATGTGCCGAGGTGGGTGGGGGGTGGCAGGGTAGGTAGACCCTCGATAACCCTCTCTGAAGACAGAGGCTCCACCACCACACAGCACTCTCTCCCTCACTGGTCCCTCTCTCGATTACTTGCCCATTGACAACTTGGTGAAAGGGCAGAAATGCCCAATGCTTAGCTGGTTGCAGCTCGAAAGTCCCATAAACTTCCGTTGAAGAAATGGAGCTAAGAAGGCTTGGGGAAGCCTTGCTTTAGAGCACTGCAGTCCAGAGCTGGCCAGTCCTTTTATAATAAAGGCCTTTCGGAAGCACTGTGGCCCTTGTCTGGCCCGTGTGCCAGAACTGGTGGACCATACGCGGTGGGAAACAGCCTAATGTGGAAACGCGATGCGCAGGGACACCGGTCACTCTTGCTTTGCGAGCCAGAGTATCGTGTGCCCCCACATTCCCGAGAATTCGCGAAGCCCTATTCCTCTCCAACAATAACTTTGCCTACACCTTTCTTGTCTAAGCTTTTTGCCATACGTTGAAGGTCACAGTATGTTCTTTCTCATGCCAAATAGAATGACTTTGACTCATCCATAATTTGCAAATCTATTGAAATGAACTTCAAAGATTTTTCCTACAAATTGCCTGAACACAACTGCCTGAACAAGAGGACAAATCCAGCACTAAGATTTCTCCCAAGGGCCTATGGTGGACAGATCGTACCAGCACCGAAAACCAACGGGTACTGCTTGTTGAACCCTTCCCGCAAAGGAACAGGGCTTCAAGCAGACATTCCTTGCCACCTTCTGTGATGCTTAGACTTTCATATTAAACTCTGGCTTTTAGCACAATGAGACTCGAAAGAAATACTGTTGTGGGCTACTTTTCTTGTAATTCTTTGTGTAACTTTTTTCCTCTCTGATGTTTTCAGCTTGAGAATTTGGCTGTGACCTCGCGAACCTGACTGGCTGACAACACATCGCCGCAGCACGCCAGTGCCGGGCTATCCTCCTGCCACACGTGTGACCACTACAACTCGAGACCCCGCGAGCATTTCTCTGATCTTTGGAGACCACGATGATTTTTCCAAACTCTTACAACTCTCGAGCTACCCTCGAGCGTGTGACGCGAAAGTGGTGACAGCTGGTTTGGTGATCTTTTCTGACCGCGATGATTTCCCGAACTCTCGAGCTACCCTCGAGCGCCGTGGTGACCTGAAAGTGGCGACAGACGGTTTGGTGGGTGCGACGGACAGGAAGAGGCGGGGGGGATAATTACATCTTGCATGAACTTCTTGCAGACGGGGCGGATCTCCTTGCTGAGCGTAGCGCTGAACATCATGACCTGCTTCTCGTGAGGCGTCATGCGGAAGATCTCCTGGACATCTCGACGCATGTCTGCAACGTATCAAATTACAACATTGAAGTTCCTCAGCAACACAAAAATGAGGACAGCTACACAGGTTCATAGCTTTGCCCAAGTGTCATTGTAACAACAAAGTTTTGGTAACACCTTTCAACTATCTTATCTGGCACAAAACTTCTTTGGTCAGATTGTGTGATGTGCACATTTGTCTTTTTGGTGTTGCAAGTTTACATTTCTTCAGCTTGTATAAATAACTGTGTGCTTGCCTATTGGATGACAGTAATTAGAAAAGACAGAGTTTCAGAGAACCAATTTTACCAGCATGCAACGACATTCGAGGGAAAACAAAGGTTTGTGCGAAGTCGTGGTCTCACCTAGCTGTTCCAACATCTTGTCGCACTCGTCCAGAATGAAGTGCTTGACGTGCTTCAGGTTCAGCGACTTGTCCCGTGCCAGAGCCAGGATCCGCCCAGGCGTGCCCACCACGATGTGAGGACAGTTGGTTTTCAGCGTGTTGCGGTCCTTCTGGATTGGCATGCCTCCAAAGAACACGGCATTCTGTGCACGGGGAAAAAGATTCAAACATTTTAGAACTAGATAATCATTCTTTAGTGACTAGTTTTATCAGGTTGGTTAATCACTGATCAACAAAGTTTTTTAATCCAGCTTGTGCATTAAGAGGTTGCATTTTTAAATTTGCAGGTCCCCGGTTCGAGTCCTAACATGCCACCAATCCTGTGACCTTGGGAAAGGCACTTTACACAACTTTCCCCACTAAACTCAAGTGAAAATGAGTACTAGTCTATCTCTCCAGTATTCGTTTCTATGTGTGGAAAACAGCTGCCTGTGTCCCACATGTATAGCACTGTTGCTATTGCAATAAATAAAAAAAAGCAATTTGAGCAGTTAAAAGAAGACTTGTAGGAATAACACTTCACGAAAAACAAATGTTTATCTTATGAGTTCTGGTGAATATTTATTGACACTGACCTTGATGGTGGGCATGTACTTGCTGAAGCGTTCGTACTCCTTGCTAATCTGGAAGGCCAGTTCCCTGGTGTGGCACATCACCAAAACAGCGACCTGAAAACAACCACCAACAAATGATTCAAATGTACATTTTCTCTCCCTACTCAAGCAGGTTAACGTATCTATGCATAAGCAATATCATTTCAAGAGAACTTATTACACAGCTATGAATGGCACCTGGCAAACCAGGAAGCTGTATTTGTAGAGGCTATTTTGCAATCAACAAGCCAGGTTGCTTACACAAATACAGCCTTATGGAAAAATTTTGTATACAAAGTTTCAAGGGGCAAAACTAGAGCCTAGGATCCTCTCACTTTTGTTTCCCTCCCATCCTTGAAGTTTTACTTTTAAGATGCTTGAAAAAGACCAGTGTGCCCTTCTGATGAGACAAAAATGTGTTACCTGGCCATCAACTGGTTCGATCTGCTGTAGTGTGGCGAGGACGAACACAGCAGTCTTGCCCATACCAGACTTGGCCTGGCAGAGGACATCCATGGACAGGATTGCCTGGGGAATGCACTCGTGCTGAACTGTGGGAAACAAAGAAACTTTTGTTATTGGCTTTTATTATATAGTTTTAAACAGCAACAAATTCTGCCCAACTTACAGTTCTCTTCACTCTGCAATTGTGACCTTCGTTTTATATTTAATTTACAAAACTTAACAGAAACAGGATATTTTTATGTCACACTCAACTTTCAGTCAACTTGAAATACAACAACTTGTGTTGGACTAGCAGCACTTGGCATAGCTCCCAGCTCTAAGTACATTCACGGCGAGTAAGCAAGTCCCAAAACCCATCTACGCCACAAAACTTGGCAGAAAAGGCTGACAGACTAACACTAGTAACAGGGATTTCATTTCAAGATGGGTGTTTCCTCAACAGTAAGACAGAAAAGCATGCATATTTCAAGTGTTTCGAAAAGGATGCACTAGAAGTGAAGCCTTGTACTTCCTTGCGTAACAGTTGAGATGTCTTTTTACTGATGTCAGTGTGTGTTGATGGCTCCCAAGTCCATATTTGAACCGTACATAAAGATTTAACTAGCCCATGACGAATTCTAAACAGACCATAACTATAACTGCCTACAATCTTACTACACACCACATATGGTGCAGGCATCCTACATTATACATGCACCAGTTGTTCAGTAAACAAAGCCCATGTAATTGACAACAGGTGTGGACAAAAATCCTTTGTTCTCCTTGTTAACAACACATGTACTCATCAGGAGTGTCTGTTCAAGGGCGCTGGTGTAGAAGGTATCCTTTTACACAATTACAGTTGTCTGTAGACTTGTCCTGTCTAGCTACAAATATTGATGTTGATGTTAATGTTACAGTAATGAATCAAATGAAACTTCACACCAAACTTATCAGTGAGAGACTCGGACCTTTCTATACAACTTACAAGTTAAGTCTTGTGCTGCAACATTTGTTAAATTTTTTTAACTAGATGGCAGAGTCCAGTTTTCATAGATAGCACTTCAACACACTCCAACTAAATTATCTATCACAAGACATTTTCAGTTTGATTAGCATCTAAATGGCTGGTATTTTAGCTGCCAAGTCTCTTCCAGAGAAGACAAAAGAAACTCAGCAGCTAGAAATAGTAGAATACTGTAGGTTTCGTAACCAGGTTGTATAGTAGACATATAATGGGGGGGACACAGACTGAATAGCCTTATGATCAGAGTTCACTTCAAGCAGACATGATCTCTTACCCTCTGAAGGATGCTCGAAACCGCAGTCAACGATGGCTCGGAGGAGCTCGGGTTTCAGCAGGAAGTCCCGGAAACCCGAGCTGTGGATGGAGACGTAAGAACCCTTCACTTCTTTCTTCTGCGCCGCGGTGTCTCCGGCCGCCTCGGTCGTAGTCTCCTGCTCCTCCTCTTCATAGTCCAACAGTTCGTTCTCACCTTCTTCGGCCATTTTGGAGATTTGTGGTGTGGTTTTTTTTCTGTTACAGCGTAAGAAGAGAATACTGTATATCTTAATTATTACAGAGTGGGCAGCTGATTTCTTGAAGCGGGAGTTCTACCTTTTTTTTCTGGGAACGATTCATACCTGAAGAGGCTGAACATCAAGTTAGTTAAGTAACTCATTTGTCCGAAATAACCCGCTCTATACGACTGACAAATTCTGTGCTAGATTGAGAAGTTTACCGTACAGTAATCTTACTTGTACTGAAAAATTCCCCAACATCTGCAAGATCTGCAAACAATGCTAAATGTATTGTTTAATTTTTTTATAACGTACAAAAGTGTTGTAACAAAATAACATGATGTACGGCAACGTGCAAATCATATACTAGTATACAATGTACAAAGCGGTACAAAGCTACAGTACAGTAGTAACAAATCATTATAGGTCACAGCCTTGTGTGTCGACGTGACCTCTTACTTCCAAATCGTATATACTAGTAAATTTTGTCCGGTGCCTAGCCTGCACAAATATTTTGATAAAACAAAATACACACAAAATACATCTGCACGATGAAAAATTATTGTTGCATGTCAGAGCTAAGCTACTTGTGTGTAAACTAGCTGCATTGGAGCATCACACGCTTCTTTTTTGTAAGAACGCTTCGGACTCCATGCGCTATGCAGCGAGTTTGATTGAACACCGCCTAGCCCTATGGCCTTGAATTCGTTTATAAATAATTACCTCAAACGACGCTAAAACTAACCCTGAAGTAAGATACTATGCAAGACTAGTTAAAACGAACAAAATTCAACATGAAAGAACGTCACAGGACAGTCAAAACTCTAAGAAAGTAATGTTTTTGGTTCTAAAAACTCGAATACCTCGCCTAGAATATAACGAAAGTTCCACGCTAGTGAACCGACGCGCTAAACTTCAACTCGGGATTTTCCACCAAACGTTCGATCTACCTTCACCAAAAGTACCACAAAAAATCCAGAAAAATGTAACTGATATATTTTGAGCGGAAAGACCTGCATCTTACCTGCACAAAGAACTAGATGACAGTGGATACTTCGGGATGTCGTTCCACAGCCCAAGCTTCGTCCAAAGATGGCGGCCAAACAGTGACGCTTTCGGAAAGAGCGGGGGATCAATTTACATGCAAAACTAGCACGATATTCAGCAACGCATTTATACGCATTTATATATTCTTAATCATGTAAATATGTGAAAAATATCAGATAGTGTATACTCTTTAAAAACTACAAAATATATTTCGCTAGTATAAATCTCCCTCTAAAAGCATTTTTTCTTTTAAATCCTCCAACAAAGATTTTAAAAAATATGCGAATGTTACATACGCAATATGGTATTTGTTATGTACCAACAGAATGCTGCGTATAATACGTTGTCTATGATTGGTTCACAGGCCTGGGGAATTCGGACGACTTACACTGGTACATCGACATTCTTACGCAAAGTTTGAATTGTGCTAATATCTAAAATAGTGAGATAGAATAAGTTTATCACATTTCAATATATAACTTTTACCAAATATGTATTGTTCTACAAAGAAAAGTTCTTTGAGAATTCTGACAGATTTCTCACTGGCCAATCACACGGCGTGTTACAAAGGGGCAGAACAGGGAAGACCCTGGGTCGGTTACCTTTCACCTTTGACCACTCACAGGAAGCATGGCGGCAGCTACGAAACAGGGTTTGTGTTTTGGACGATATTTTGTCTAGTTTGGCGATATTTAAGTCCTTTATATCATTTTACATACATGTAAGATGAAGTTAAGATTACTGTTGACATGTGTGACTAGTCTGATTTATTTTTGAAGTAACAATTGGGCTACAGATGATGTTTCGGTTGTATGATGGGGGAAGAGCAGACTGATCAGTGATCTGTCTGAGTTGGTATTGAAATTATGATAACGTTACATGTATCATCACTTGGTGATTTTGTGTGATACACAGAAATGAACAGTACTGAACAGAAACTCGCGCTTCTGGTAACCTCAGAATAGTTAACTTACATCCTTTGGACAAAATCCAAATTAAATAGGGAAACTGAAGAACTGTAAGATTTACAAATGTCTTATACATTTTGTATCCTCATCTAACGTTAGATTTGCTTCAATACCCCCCCCCCCAGCAGAGTTGGACCAGTCCAAGGCTGTGAACATTTTCACCTTCAAGGACGTGAAGACGCAACCCGACCCCTACTACACCTACCCAGAATCCCTCAGGGCAGGCAAGATTCCCCTCATTATAGACAATGGTAAGGAAAAAGAACTTACTTGTCTTGTACTGGAGTCTAAGATTTGATGTTAATTGAAACATGAAGAGAATACATTGTACCTCCTTCATGACTTCAATGAAAAGCAACCAGTACGCCAATCTGAGTTTTCTTATATAAACATTGTAAACAAAGGCTCAAACATCAAATAAAGTCTCTAAGAAAGAATCTGACACGCCTTTCTTGTATCTTCAGGTTCTTACCAGTGTAAGGCAGGCTGGGCGTCGGATAAGGAGCCCAGGCTCATCTTTAAGAACGTGATGGCGAAGGGGCGTGGCAAGAAGGAGACGGACGTTCAGATCGGGAATGACATCAGTAACATCGAGGTGGTGAGATGGCTCCTCAAGACACAGTTTGATGGACAGGTGGTCACGCACTACGACATGCAGGTGAGGAAATTTGAATTTGCAGGAGAAAATCATTATGTTTTTGCTCAGTTTCTTCTTCTTTTTGTCCAAAGACATAAAAGTCAATGGCCTGGACCAGATGTCTGTTACCGTGGTAACTGGTGCTGTAGCAGACACACTGTGGTGTTGGGTTACATTATGTAGCAAGTGGCAGGATAGAATTGGAGGGGCTGGTCATCATACACTAGTATATGAACATGTGAATGTGTTTGAGTAAGAATAAACAGAACAGTATATTTTTTTAATTTTTATATATTCCGAAACATGCAATGACATTTGTTGGGCTGGCTTTATTTTGTATTTCTAAATGTGATTTAGTTGCTTTTGTTGCTGTTGTAATCTTGGCTGCCAATCCTGAGGAGAAACTTTAATGTGTTTCCTGTGATGCCTTCCAGGAGCAGATGTTTGACTACCTGTTCAGCCACCTGGGGATCAGCACAGAGGGGCGGGTCGACCATCCCATCGTCATGACAGAGGCTGTCTGTAACCCAAACTACTGCAGACAAAGTACAAAAAAATTATGCACAAAATACACCAAATATAGCAGCAATCTACCAACCACAGTTTTAATATTGGTCTGTCAATATCCAAATGCTAATGATGTCTAGTAGGTCAACTGGCTCTTGGCAAAAATACCAGTACATAGCATTATCTTATGTAATAAAGCTGAAGATATTTGCTACATCTCCAAGCAGATCTTTGGGGGGGGGGGCAAAATCTTAACCAACCAATAAGACAGTATCCTAGCAGGCAAGACAGTATCACATTGGCCACTGTAGCTCATGCAGTGTATGTCTCATGCACTAGCTTAGATAGGTGAGCAGAGGTGTTAGCTAATTTGTTGCAAATGTTTTTGCCTTCCCAGACATGTCGGAGTTGCTGTTTGAATGTTACCATGTGCCGAAGGTGGGGTATGGAGTCGACGCCTTGTTCAGTCTGCACCACAACAGGCCCAAAGCAGGTAGTAGGAAATTCCACCCTCGAAAACCTTATTGCTCTCAGGTTAGAAGATAATACAAATACATGTACAAACAAAGTACTTTTATAAAGATTGTCAGATTGTCCCAATTTACCTAGTCCCCTGACCCAACCTAAAAATTGAAATGCTTTGATACTTAAAAGTTTAAGGTAGTCCCATAGACTTTTTGAGGCTCTAGGGACAGTGGCCATCCAATGCCACCCATCTTGATATCTAATGGTTCTTCTTTCCAGCCTTGGACCATGCCATGCTGGTTTGCTCCGGCTTCCACACCACTCACATACTCCCCCTAGTGGCCGGCAGGCTCGATGCAGCCAACTGCAAGCGGATTAACCTGGGCGGCTGGCAGGCGACCGGCTACATGCACCGCCTCTTCCAGCTCAAGTACCCGGCACACTTCGCTGCCATCACTCTCACTCGATCAGAGGTAGGGCTGTACTGATTGATTGAGATTGGTGCTAAACACCATCCACACACAAACACACCTGTCCCTGGTGCTTAACACTATCCACACACAGGCAAGCACACCTGTCCTTGGTACTGAAAACCATCCACACACAGGGTGTCTTTAACTCTCCTTGCCAGTTATTTCCCTTTTTGGTTGAATTCTTCAATCCATACCCTCATAGGAAAGCCTGGTGGAGGCTATGTGCTGACCTTGACCTCTGAACTACATGTAATGACTTTTAACATTTGCCCTCATGACCTTTACCCTCTGCCCCCTGCAGGAGCTGCTGTACGACCATGGCTACATCGCAGTAGACTACATGGAGGAGCTGCACCGTTGGTCAGACCTGAGTTACTACCACAGGAACGTGCACAAGATCCAGCTGCCCTTCACCCCCCTCCCCACCAGTTCCGTCAGCGCAGAGGACAAGGAGAAGAGGAAGCAGCAGGCCGGCCGCAGGCTGCAGGAGATCAACGCCAAGAGGAGGGAACAGAAGGTGACCTTTCACCTCTTAACCTCTAACCCTCATGACCTCATGCCCTCTGTTCCCAAGTAGTGTTACAATCTCAGCATCCATGTCAGTGAACTTTTTGAAGGTCTCAACTCCAGGTCATACCCACCTTTGTGATGACCTTCGACATTGTAACCTTTGACCTACAACCTTTGCCCCTTGCCCCCTGCAGCTGAGCAGAAGCTGCAACAGCTGCCCGGTATCTATGTCAGTGGACCTTTAATCCCAGCTCAAAGCCACCTTTGTTATGACCTTTGGCAGAACATCAATGACCTTTGACCATGAGACCCTTGCCCTTTGCCCCCTGCAGCTTGCAGCAGAGCAGGAGAAGCTGCAGCAGCTGCTGAGTATCCAGGAGCTGATGGAGGACGAGGACGACGACTCGTTCCTGAAGGCGCTGGAGGAGTGCGGCTTCTCCTCCGCCAACGAGCTGCAGGTGGCCATCAACAAACTCAGCCTCTCCATCCAGAGGACCAAGGAGAAGATGCTGCAGCCAGAGGAGGGGCAGGTGAGGAGTACTACTAGTATGACTTAAAGACTTCTAGACGCCTCACACAAACTTTCAGAACATAGCCTCCTGTAAACCTTGTCTCCTTCCTTAACAGAGTTTCAAATTCTTTTTTGAGAATAGATATACTGATGTCCTCCATTTTACACCTGGATGGAGTGAGGAAAATCGAATTAAGTGTCTTTCCCAAGTACAGAAGGTCGAGGCAACAATGAGAGCAATCAAACCTGAGACCTTTTCTGTGTCTTAACCCCTGTTCTATTCGATGCCATTTACAGTGTCCTTTTTCCTCCTATCCCTTCAGACGAGCCGTGCGACCCCGGAGCTGGATAAGCAGCAGCGGGCAGAGCGGGAGGCGATCGTGGGGAACTTACGCAGGCAGCGACAGGAGATCGTAGAGACAAGACAACAGCGCAGACAGAGGAGACAGGAGGTCGCCAAACGGAAAAGTCATGCTGCTCAGGTACAGGGGTGCAGGGCTGTGCATTGGGGGGGGGGTGCAGAAACGGAAAAGTCAGATTTTAGAGAGTCAGGGTATGAGAATGCAGTAGGAGATGGTCAAGACTAAAAAGAAAGACACCAAAGATGAATAGTGACCTAGAGGAAAAGACAACTCCTTAAGAAAAATCCTAAAGTTATCCCCGTGCTGTTTGCAGGAGAGGATGAAGATCCTGACCCAGCTGGCTCAGAGTGAGAGAAGACGGGGGAAGGAGGACACCTTCGGCATGAACGAGGAGGACTGGAACGTCTACAAGGCCATCGTGAGTAACACTCATTTTCTTAAGGAACATTTTTTTAGCAGCATCTTGAAACCTGTTTTTTTCTTGCCTTCTTTTGAGTAAGTAACACTCGTGCCTTCAGGAAAAAATTCATACCTCGAAACCTGTCCTTTTCTTGCGTTCTTTGGGGTTTTAGAAAGTAAATATGCACATATTTTATTGCTTTAAGTCACCACAACTATGGAGTTGTGTTGAAAATCTGTTTTCAGACGAACTTGGAAGGTAA